AACGAAAAAGTTGTGATTCATCAAAGCATTGTAAAAAAAAAGACAAACCAAAAAACTAAACTAAAATAATGAAAGCCTCCCTGCATCAGGCCCATTCCCCAGCAGACGGCAGTGACTTGGCTAAGATATCTAAAGAGCAGGAGATCTGAGCAGGCCTCTACTGGTGTTAATGGGATGAATAATATCCTCCCTCAGCTCCACAACCTAAAACCATGCTGAGAGATGGGCAGAAAGTTTCTGAGGGCAAAAAAGGAGGGAAAAGAACTGTGGCAACTGCCCCATGGACTGTCCCAGTCAAAGAAGGCAATGTGCTGGGAAGGGGGAGAGCTCTGGTTCTCAGACTCAGAGATTATGGATATAGTTAGCCACATCCCTGTCAGTATTTTTACCAGTCATCTAGTAGTTGGCTATTGGGTAACAATGGCATACTTAATGAACCAACAAGATTATGCTGCTTCTTTTAAAAAAGCTCCCCAAAACCAACCAACCAACCAACCAACCAACCAAACAAACAAACAAACCAAAAAAGAATTCTCTCCTTGAGCAATATAATAGACCCTAATGTAGAATGCAGGGACAAACAGTACAAAACTCTAAGTATGAGGCCTCTGTTTTACATAGTAATTCTTAAAATAACTTTTAGATTTCATTTCAACTCTGAGTTCTCATTTTCTCACTTGTGAAATGGAGATAATAATACTTGCTTCCCAAAGGATTGCTGTATAGGAGAAAATGTATGTTGAGCCTCCAGCGTTTAAGTGCCTGACACATGCCAGACATTCAGGAAATTTTAACTATCTCCACTCTCTCTTCTCTCTTTAAAATAGCTATTCTAAGTAAAAATGTTTACTTTCTAAAAAATTCTCAGCCTGAAAGAGGGAGAAAAGAAAGCAAACTTTATTTCTATAGAAACCCAACAGTCAGATTTCGGGTATTTTTTTGGGAGATTAGGAAATGGGTTAGATTGCTGTGATTATTTCCATTCTTACAAGAGTCCCAGAAGACTTATGCCTAATTTGCAAGTTAAGAATTGTAAACTAAAGAAAAAAAAAGAATTATAAACTGTCCTTACTTTGATGACTTTCATGAAATTGAAAAGAAACTAAGTAATAACAAGTATGATTATATAATTTATGGTTCATGAAAAATCCCAAAATTTTTTGAAAATGTACGTGGATAAAAATAATAGTAGTCCTTGTTCTGCCTCTCAGACATAGTATCCAAAGCAGTTACAGGACTGTAACACTTATATTAGTCTTTCACTGTATTTATATGTTACTATATATACATTATTACATATTACTATATTTTACTTTGCTTATATATTTTACTTTCATTATATAACTGCTATACTATATAATTTACTATATATATACTCTAACATTTAGTATAGTATTATATACTATATAATTTACTTCATAATTTGTATATTTTACTCTAATACTATTTTACATTATTTTCCTTTTTTATAGTATTTTAAATATGATTACTGGTAAATGCTTCAATATTTAGGTATACATATATGTGTGTGTGTATATGACATATGCATGTGTGATAATATGTTTGTCTTGAAAATTCAGGATAATTTCACCATAATGTTTTCATGCAGACTATTGTAGCCAACAAAATGAACTCTACAGTTAGTTCTTGCATCTCATTAGCCATGCCATTTAGAACGTTTCTATGATGTCATTGTTTGGAATTCAGAGTTCAATCCAGAAGGTTTTTATCATAGTACCTGTACAACTGTTTGTATTGACTATTAAACTGGTTGTTCTTAATCTTATATTTGGGCTTACTTTGAGCAAAGATGTTATGTGGGATCCTTTTTTAAAAGCTAAGAAATGTTAACAATAAACAATCATTTCCTGAATACCTTTTTTGAGAAGAATGGTGTGCTAGGCTTTGTGAGTAATGTAAAGATGAAATTTCTCCCTGACTTCAGAAGCTCACATCATGGAGAGAGAGAGAGAGATACATTCATTAACTCCCAATATTGAGAGTTACCATGTATGCTGAGAACATACCAATAACTTTACAAACATAGAAGATGGTATATTACGAGTCTATAACAAAGATACAGACTTGTTTTAGATACTGTGGGAAAGGAAAGTCAAATTAAAAAAATTGTTTTAACTTTTACTCAGTATTGAGAGACAGACAGAGCACGAGCGGGGGAGGGGCAGAGAGCTTGGGAGACACAGAATCCCAAGCAGGCTTCAGGCTCTGACCTGTTAACACAGAGACTGATGTGGGGCTCAAACTCATGAACTGTGAGATCATGATCTGAACTGAAGTCGGCTGCTTAACTGACTAAGCCACCCGGATGCCCCAAGGAAAGACAAATTTTGATTAAAGGTAGCTGATAAGGATTTGTTCAGGACGTATTATAGGATATTTGCCATGAAGGATTGACTAGACTTTGATAAGTGAAAACCAAGTAGGAGAAGGACATTCTTGGTAGCAGGGACTATATATGCATGTGTACTCATAGGTAAATGCAGACTCAAAATATACATGTATTTTTGTTTATTGTGTTCCTGTACTACAGAATATTTTTATCCAATGAATCCTAAAAGAATGTCACTATGATGTAATTATCTAAAGGATACTGAGACCATTCAGCCTCTTTAAAAAAAATTTTTTTTATAGTTTATTTATTTTTGAGACAGAGAGAGACAGAACATGAGCAGGGGAGGGGCAGAGAGAGAGAGAGAAAGAGAATCTGAAACAGGCTCCAGGGTCTGAGCCGCCAGCACAGAACCTGATGAGGGGCTAGAACCCACAAAATGCGAGGTCATGACCTGAGCCGAGGTCAGACACTTAACCAACTGATCCAACCAAGTGCCCCCCATTCAGCCTCTTGAACAGCATAAAATCACATGGGAAAAGGTAATTCAAAGATAGCTGGTTGGGCTGTGGTTGGTTTAGGTGGTGAGTTGGGAGGCAGTGAGCTGGATAAAAGGTGGTGGTGTCAGTCTGTGTACAGGTCTCATTAGGTTATAATCGAGGTATCAGCTGGGCTGTGTGCCTTTTTGGAGACAGTAGAGGGGAATCCTTTCCTTGCTCATTTAGGTTGTTGGCAGAATTCAGTTCCTCGTGATTTTAAGACTGATGTTTCCGTTTTCTTGCTGGCAGCTGAAGGCTGTTCCCAGGTTCTAGAGGCCACACACATGCCTTGACTCATGATCCCTTTTCTTTATCTTCAAAACCAGCAAGTCTTCTGCATTTACCTTCTACTTTTAAGGACACATTGATTCCATTGGATCCTCCTGTATAGTCCAGGCTACTCTGTCCATCTTAAGGTCTTAAACTTCAGTGACATCTGCAAAGTCCCTCTTTGCCATGTAAGATGACATATTCTGAGGTTCCAGGGATTAGAATGTGGACATCTTTGGGGGACCGTTATTTGGCCAACCCCACAGTGATTTTTTTTGCTTTTTGTCGTGTTGTATTGATCTTTCATTATGTATAAAGACTTTCAATCACATCACCTAAGGACCATTTTACCCATTGCTCTATTTGGCCACCAGTCTCTTGTCTCTCTCTTCAGCAATGGTGAGCGGATACCATTTCCAGGGGGAAGAGAAATCCATGGTTTGTTGCCTTTGCCAATAACAAAAATATTGGAGAGCCGGGTGGCAAAGCTTTTGCCACTGGCATCTTTCACGTGAACCAGGGTGTCTCTCTCTGTTGGTGATCACACCAATTCTTCCCAGGTTAGCATCTCCAGTCACCATACACAGATTACCGGTACCAAACTTGATGAAATCAGTAATCTTTCCAGTCTCCAAATCAATCTGAATGGTGTTATTCACCTCTATGAGGGGATCGGGATAGCAGATGGTGCCAGCACCATGGGTCACCAGATGAGGGTTTCCTTTTGTTCCCACAAAGATCTTTCTCACTTTGCACAATTTATACTTGGCCTCTTCAGGTGTGATCCAATGAAGAGCAAACTGACCCTTGATGTCATAGATTAGGTAGAAATTCTCCCCAGTCTTATCAATGCTGATGACATCCATAAAACCAGCAGGGTAGGTTATATCGATTCGGACCTTGCCATTAGTCTTAACCAAACGTTGCATACAGATCTTTTTTTTTTTTTTTAATGTTTTATTTATATCCAAGAGAGAGAGATACAGCATGAACAGGACAGGGTCAGAGAGAGAAGGAGACACAGAATCTGAAATAGGCTCCAGGCTCTGAGCTAGCCATCAGCACAGAGCCCAGTGTGGGGCTTGAACCCATGAACTGTGAGATCATGACCTGAGTCAAAGTCAGACGCCCAACCAACTGAGCCACCTCATACAGATCTTCTTTACTTCATCTCCTACTAGGGCATACTTAAGTTTGTTCCTCAGGAAAATGATGAGAAGAAACATCCTCTCAACTTATGGGGACCAGTAGATGGACAAGGGGCAAACACACCAGTCAACTTATGCAGCATCCAATGCTTTGGAGCTTCTACCTGCTTCAGATGCTTCTTGGGACTATGAGCCATGGCTGCATTAGGCACCAAAAGAGCAACCCCGTAGTGCTTTTATTCTCCTCGGGTACATCCTGGAAATGTAGCTGGTGGCAAAACACATATGCTTCTGTGTGGGTGTTGTGGGTATCAGTAGCAGCAGTGACAACAGCAAATCATGAGACAGAATCCACTGTGAGAGATGATGACTTTCAATTTTAACTCATTGATGAACCCAGGGTCCAATGGGTCTTTTGAGTTAAGAAACGTAAATTTCTAACGACAATTTTTCAACGTCTACCAGCTATATGCTAGACAGTGTAGAAAACGTGGAATTCAGCCTACAACTCCTATCCAACAGATTCTCAAATTTAATGTGTCAGACTGAGGGAAAAGCAGCATGATAATGGTGTGAGGCATAGCCTAAGGGGTAAAAAACAACTTAGGGAGGGGTGAGACATTGCCACAGGTTAATAAAATGTTATCTTGGGTCCTTTGGACAACTCTATCAATTATCTATGTTCTAGGCCTTTTAGGAAGTTTAGGAACAGACCCTGCATTTTTGTTTCATTCACTGCTTTATTCTCAACATCTAAAACATTGTTACCACTTTGTAGGTGCTCAACATATACTTGTTGAATGACTATTGTGAAAACTCAGATCAGAGAGGGGAGGTGATAAAGGTCAAAAAGCTGGTTTATGGCAGAGATGGATCTAGAAACGAGCTTGGATTCTTCATTCTTCTATCAAATTCAGGAGGCAGCTTCTGGAAAATGAAACAGTGCAACAAATGAAGTCTCCTGAATGCTGACTCTCTTATCTTCCACATAGTATTTCTTCTTCCTATATAAAATACCATTAACCAAATCTCAGTTTAATGTCTGAAATGTGAGTCAAGAGAATTGAGTTCTATTCCTAGTTCCTCTATTCACTCCCTTTGTCACCGAGGCAAATTACTTAACCTGTCCAAACTTAGTTTCTTCTTCTGTCATGGAAGAGCCAGGCTTCCTTTCATTGCTCATGTCCTAGGAGTCTAAATTTCATGAAAGCTAATCAACAAGCTCACTCACAAATCATATGTCTGAACATCCTTCTATCAGTGTTCCTGGAGTGTGGTCAGCACATCACCTCTATCAGAATCACCCCAGTCCTTTAAATATGCTGATTTTGCAATTGTTAAAGAGAATAGTTGCTGATTTGGAGGGATTCCCATTAGGCCATGCTTCCCAAGTCTTTCACTTCTATAGTTATGGTACACATAAAAGGTGACAATGTTGGGACTCCTGGCTGGCTGAATCCGAGGAGCATGCGATTCTTGATCTTGGGGTTGTGAGTTCAAGCCCCACAACGGGGGTAGAGATTACTTAAATAAATAAAAACTAAAAAAAAGTGGTAATATTTATGTGGTGTACTGGGGTAAGAAAGCTTAGAGCGTCTCCTTGCCAATGCACATGTCACTGAGAAGCTGCCAGAAGTATCACTAAGTGAGAAAAACAAGTTACAGAAAAATATGTACTATATATGATCCATTTTCAAGATAATGCCAAAACTCTGTATATGTAACATGTCTACATGAATATGTATTATATGTTTGTATATGATCATGTGTTATATTATGTGCATGTAGATACACAATGTTATAAGAATATTGAAAGGATCACAGGGGAAGAGAGAACACAAAGAATAAAGAGAAAAAAAAGTGTAAACACCAGTATGTATGCTATGAATCCATTTATGCATCTATGTAAAATAATGTATTTGTATATGAAGACATTTAAGAAATTAAAAATGCAGATCCAGGGCCCTTACCTTACATCCATTAGAGCAGAATTTAAAAGATAGGAAATATGAAGAGGTGGGTGTCTGCATCATTAACAAGTATTCCAAGTGATTCTGTAATAGTCAAGTCTGTAAATCTTTGCATTACATGCTAATATCATTAGCTGTAAATACAGTGTATTTGGAAATTTCCATCCTGCAGTGCAGGCTCAGCTGATGCTCACTGTCTTGGACCATAGTAGATGCATAATAAATATCTGCTGAGTTTTTGAGTCATTTGGAGGATAGGTGGAAGGAGTGAGGGCCACAGTGATGAGACAAGCAGATCATCTGGGTAAGGTCAAGCTCAGGAGATGAAGCAAAAAGCATACAAGAACAAATGGACTGGGCCCTCTTGCCATTTTCAGACATTCAACCTATATTTGTTAGGCACTGTGTATATGTAAGACACTTTTCTCTATCTCACATAATTCCTAAATAATCCTCTCCAGATCAGAGATGAAGTGAGTTAGCAGTACTATCAGAATTGGAATTTGAACCCAACGTATTTTGAGCATTAAGCTAATGAACCAGACACATGGCAGCTGCTGAGGATAGGGTGGTGATCTCAATAGGTAGCTTTTTCAGATCTAGAATCATGTCGCTCTACCGTGATCATTTCTGCCTCTTGGCACTTATTAGTTGACCCTGCTATTCAGCTGCCTAGAAGCAGCTTCTTTGTCCCATATTTCAACTTAGAGCTTGTCAAATAAAGATTATAGTAAATGTGGTTTTTGTCCATTATCTCTAGCTAGTGTTTTCACAGTGGGGAGGAAGTATCATTTCCCAGGTGACTTTGCATAGTGCAAGGTCCCCTCACCCCTCTAAAAAGACTAATTTTAGTTTTTTCCAATTCTTAGGCATCTACCAAGTGAGAATAATTCTGGCTCTTCGCCGCCTCATCTGCTAAGTGCTTTTCTGGTAGAGCAGAAAGATGAAAGTGGGGAAAAAGATGCTCTCTCATGGAGTTCAGGGGTAGGGTAACAAATGATACAAAAAATTCTTCACACGTACCCATTTTTCAGTGATCTCATCCCTGGCGTTGGGGACCATTATGAAAAAAAAATCAAAGGTGTATATTTAGCGCCCAAATGCCTTAAGGTAAAAAAAAAAAAAAGCATCCTTTGTCATCCATTAACTTGAGGACCTTGATTTCTGAACTCGTGTCACCCTCACCCCCCCCCCCCCCCCCCCCCCCCCCCCCGTGATTTCCGGAGAAGTAGCCATTATGCAGATTCCGGAGAATGGGAGCAGGGCCTGGACCAAGCCTGGTACTGAACCTTTCCTGCCTCTCAAAGCACCGCGGAGCCAGTCCGCGTCGGTAACGCGAGACTGGTCTCCGTGATTTGTCGGTAACCTAGCGTCTAGGGACCGGAAGACGGGAAGCTGCGATTCCCAGGTGGGGTCGAGTTGGGTGTGTGGGCAGATTTCATTAGCGAGGGCAGGCCCCCACGGGACGTTATCTTTGGAAACAGGTGCGGAGCTCCTACTGCCGCCCGCCCCTCTGCAGTCCTGTGCCGGAAGCGTGGTTAACTAGCCGCTCCCTCCAGGTGCGCAGCCTGCATTCCGGGCTGCCTTCCCAACCTGGGGAAATACTGTCAGTGTCTTTCTTGTTCACGAAGTACCACCTCTTTCCCAAGTCACGTTCGATCACGGGAAGCCGATTTTAAATCGATAATAATATAATTAGGTCCAGCCAGACCCGTTCCTCGTCACGACGCAGAATCTCAGTCAGGCCCACGGCACGTAGGGCCGGTCACCCCAGCCCTCCGCTCCCGACTCCCTCCGCCCCTAGTCCCTACTCGGTCGTAGCCAAAGCCTGGAACGCTGGATCCCGGCCCGCAAGAACAGGACCGCGAACGCGAGCGGCGCCGCCGGCCGGGAGCCCGTGGCACCGGGCATGCTCAGTGGCGCGGCCGGCTGGGTGGCCCCGAGAGCTGCACCCGGATCTGCTCGGCGGCGGCGGCGGCGGCGGCGGCGGCGACGTGAGCGCGCAGGGGGGCGGCGGCCTCGCTTCGTCTCTCTCTCTGCGCCTGGGTCCGGTGGGTGACGCCAAGCGCGAAGAGAGATGTCGGATTTCGACAGTAACCCGTTTGCGGACCCGGATCTCAACAACCCTTTCAAGGTGAGCGTGGGCCCCAGCAGTCTCCCGCCGCCGCGACGCGTCGTTGTTTGTGAAAACGACAAGTTCTTTCGCGCCCGCCGAGCCTGCCCCTCGGCTCCCCTCAGCCGCCTAGTTTGGGGTTCAGGGCCGCCGCAACCCGTTTGGGGGTCGCGCCCAGACCCTTGCACCCCTCGTTTGGGGGGTTAGAGTGGAACGTCTTGAGCTCGTTCTCCCGCCGCCCCTTCGGCCCGTTCCCGACTGGCGAGGGTCTTGTCCTGATCCGGGAGTGGGCCCGCGCGTCGGGAGGGTTCCTGGATCGTCTCTGGGGAGCGAGGAGACAGGAGCTCAGGGCAGGTGGAGTTGTCACTTGACAGGCGAGTGTGGCCGTCCGGGCCCGGGCAGGGACAGGGGCCGGGAGACGGCGGAAGGGGAGAGTCCTCGGGTGGGGTTGTCACGGGGACCCGCGGTGGCGGCGAGGAGCTGCGTGGGGCGATGGCAGGGGCGTAGAGGAAAGGTGAGGGCACAGAGTACGCTGCAATTAAAAAAAAAAAAAAAGGTTGTGTTTTTATTTTTTAAACTTGTGTTGCACCCACGTACCACCAGCGGCGCTGCCATTCCCTCTTTTCCCCATTTGGTCGAGGTTAAGGGTACTGATAAGAAAGCAGGAGTTAAAAATAAACAAACACACCTGGAAAACAATAGTGCACGTGGACGACCATCTTCCTACCTAACTGCTGTTAGAAAGGTGAACGACGGGATGTTTTCCAAGCTCCTAGTGCGTCACCGGTTCCCGGGGCTGTGCGAGGATTGCATTTCTTACACGAGCTTCTTTCTTTCTTGGAGTCAACCGTATCAGCCCCAGCTTTGGAAGAGCTTGGCACAGAAACGGGCAAATGAAGGAGGCTAAATGTTTATGATGTGTGCTTAAAGTAATGCAACATCTGAGTAAACACCTGTTTAAAAAATATTCAGATTTTCTTAATGAACTCAACTGCTTACATATTTAATTTGTTTCCAACTGTTGGTCGAAGTTCATTAATTTTTCCTGGATATGTGCAATAGTAACTTCAATTTGTAGTCACACAGAACGAAAGAGTAACTTGAATTTGTGGTCACGTAAGTATCGCTTCTGGCGTGAGTTTACATTTCAGTATTTCTGGTTGTATCTCTTATTAAGAATCCTGGAAGGGGGTGGAGCATGCGACCCTATCTCAGGATTGTGAGTTTGATCTTCATCTTCGGTGTAGAGATTACTTAACCATAAAAATCTTTAAAAAAAGAAAAGTCATATTAGAACATTCTATGCCACTGGCCTGAACTTTCAAGCTTTCATAGCTAATCTGGTTGCCATTTAAGGAGAGCCCACCCCCTCAATTTAGAATTTGGTATTACATCAGTCCATGTTGTGGAAAAATCATATTATTCTTTAATCATAGACATTCAGAACAGACATTTTATAAAGTGCCAAATAGGTTATTTTAAAATATTTTGGAAGGTATAACATTAAGAACCTGTTATCTTTTCCTAATTCAGATATTCATTGATGCTATATATTCAGCATCTGACAGTTTGGTTGTATTCTATTTGGTTATTCCATTTCATGGCTCATTTTATGTAACTGGTTCTCTTGTTAGGGAAAGACATTGTTTTCTGTTTAGCCTAGTCTACTCTTTGGTGACATCTGATGTTGCCATGACACTTTGCTTTTCTGCCATCCGTTACATTGTTGTAGTAGTTCTAAACCCAAAAGTAGTTTTCAGTACTCATTGTGGAATAAAATTATAAACCTTTTTTGTTCCTTATAATTGGATGCACTCACAGGACAATGATTATTCATCCATAAAATGCTTAAAGGAATGATAATTTAGGCCTAAAGAAGACTTGGTTATGACCTTACCCTGTTTTGGTGACTGTCGTAGCACTGTGTATCTCTGACCCTTTATCTTTTCTTTTGTGTCCAGCTGCTTTTCTTCTTCTTCTTTTTTTTTTTTTATGTTTATTTAGTTATTTTTGTGAGCTAGGTAGCAGGGGAGGGGCAGAGAGGGAAACAATCCCAAGTAGGCTCCCCATGCCATGAACACAGAGCCTGATGCAGGGCTCAAATTCACAAACTGTGAGATTATGACCTAAGCAGAAACCGATTGTCAGACGAGACGCTCCTGTCCTTCTTAAGGTAAAGCTTTACCCTCTGTAGCTTACTCTTTCTTCTTTTGGTTTACTTTTATGTAAGTGTGATTTTTCAAATAGCTTTTCTGGTTCTTTCTACTTTCATATAAAAGTTCTGGATTTATCATTTTGTTAACTTAAGATCGTCTTTCTTTTCAGATCTTTTCTAATTTCCAATATTTCAGTAATCAAAAATTTCATATTTTCAAAATACACGTTTCACATTTGGGAACCATCCTAATTTCTTCTTGGTTAAAAAGCTATTTGATTTCTATTGCTTTCTCGATTCTTCAGCATTTCTTTTACTTCACTTTTATGTTAGAAGCACTTACCAGCATCTTCATCTGAACTGTCATGAAAATAATTTGAGGATAATCTCCTTAGATATTGTAACTGTAATGGCTTACAGGATTTTATTAGCTATTGTAAAATTATTTTCTGGATTCAGTTTATTATTTGAATTTATTATATGAGCTCCTACTTGATTCTGGTGGTTGTGATGGTTTCAGTGAAAGAATTCGTGGAATTCGAGTAGTTTTTATTGTGCATCAAGAAACTTGGAGTAACTGGAAATATGTAGTAATCTGAAAAACAGAATATTACATGGATGTTCCTGAGTATCCATCTGCACTTGAGTTGTTATAATGTGGCTTTAAAGGTATAGAGGAAAAATATTTTTCACATAGTCAACATTTATTGTTTTATGTCTCTTCCTCTGTTCAGTTACTCATTTATTCCATAGGTACTGAAGAAATCTATATCCTTAAGGCTATTAGTCTAACATGTAGACAAACATGCTTCAAAAGTAAAATAAAGTAAAACAGTCACCAGAGATCAATAATTTAATAGGTTCTTAGAAGTCAGTGTAAGCGTATAAGTACCAGAATGAGTACAGTTTATTCAAAGGAAAGAAAAATTAATAAGTGGTAAGACCTTCATATCTTTTAATATGCTTTAGTATATTAATATGCTAATTGACTGGAAAATTCGTCTTGGAAATCAAATTTTATATAACTGAAAAAGGAGAACTTTGAAAGCTGGAAAAGGAAAATCTACAGCAGTTTATCCAGATCTCCTTCTATGGATGAAAAAAAGCCCAGAGATAGGATATTTCACTTTTGGCAATCATTCTACTTTCTTCTTTATTAAAAACTCTGATTGTCATCATTGACTTGAACATTGTCTTATACCCAGGTGTAGGTGGTGTAGAATTGGCACTAGAATTTAATTCTTACTCCTAGTCCATTGCTTATGGCACTCTATTTGCTCATTGATTGCATTTCTGACACCAAATTCTTGTTTTGTATTTGGAATTTGGGCTTGAGGCTCATATAGAGACAGAAGGTCGGGTTTAAAGGTTTCTGCTCAAGAGTTTAAAACAACCCAGCATTTGATTCTGGCTTTGTCACTAACTAGCTGTGACACCTTGGAAAATTATATGCCCTCTTTATTCCTCTGTTTACTGTTATCTAAAGTAGGATAATAGGGTCTTCTCCATAGGGTTGTTAATAGGATTAGATGAACATATATGTAGTATGTAGTAAGTGCTCAATGCATGGTGGCTTTAATTAGGTAACTATTAATAAGTAGTATTAATAGTAATTCAAGAAATTGCATTTAATGACTGTTAACCATATTCTTAGCTTAGTAATTTAGTGAAGTTGACATACAATGTTCCATTAGATTCAGGTGTACAACATATGATTCCACAAGGCTGTATGTTATACTATGCTCACCACAAGCGTAGCTACCATCTGTTACCATACAACACTATTATAGTATGATTGTGTTTACATTCCCTATGCTGTACCTCCTGAAGACTTACTTCATAAAAGTTCATGTTCCTTTACACTCCTTGAGGCTTTTAGTAGTGTAGGCAGATCACAGTTGAGGAGTCCTGGCCCAACATAAGTGGTTGCTCTGGGTCACTCTGCTGGACTAGACCCAGTAGTCTGAATTCTAGTGCTTTGTCACTGCAAAGGCTTCCTCCCTAAGAAAAGAACTCCATTCTTTTGGGCCTCAAAAATTCTACTCTTTAACAATAATCTCTTAAAAATGGGCTACAAGTCATCATTCCTTATGATATTTAAGTATAGTAATTCTGTTAGTTCTAAGAGTTTAGAACAAGTTGAAAATTGAAAACTTCATTGTTAAAAAGCGACCCGTAATTCAAGGATCCTATCTATTTTGTTTTCATTTATAGTTAGTTGATGTCCCTCCTCCCTTATCCATTTAAAATTTATGACTAGGTACTGGATAGCACCAGGAAAGAATTGTGAGGATTTTTCTGTGATAGTCTCACATTGCTGGCTTTATTTTAACAGCTTTAATCTGGGACATACTAATAGTATTTATGGTCTATGGTATTTTGTGGTGATGCCAACTGCATAACTTTGTACTTGGTTTTCCTCAAGTTTGTATTTTTAAAAAGCATGTATTGAGCTGCTGATTATATTTCATCAAATTAAGATGCATCATTATTTACCATTGTCTCAGTTGCCTATTGCTGTATAACAAATAATCCCAAAATTTAGTGGCTTAAAACACTTATTTGCTCACCAGTCTGTTATTTGAGCTAGAGTTAGCAGGCAGTTTGTTTTTGAATGTTATTGCCTGGTATCACTTATGTCTCCTTACTTAACTGGGGCTTTCTGTGAGGGAAGCAATTGGTTGTTTTTTTTGGTGGCCTTTTTATTAGGAATAGCGGGGCTTTTTCCATAGTGGGAGTAGTGTTCTAAGAGGGCAAGCTGAAGGCTTCTTGAGTCCTTTTTCTTCTGCTACATTGTGTTAGTTACACAAGAAACGAAGCCAGACCAGATTAAATAAGGAATGGGAAGGATTACATTTACTCCTTG